GACGAGTAGCTGAGTATCTCTTCAGCAAACTGCCGCGAATGAAACTGAAAGTAAGACGCAGAAGCTCAACACTCAATCATCTTCATTAAAAGTAGTATCACAAACGTATCTTTCCAGTGCTGATGCCGCGCGCTCTCCTATTGCGGTCTTTGATCTTGAAATGAGCTGATAATTAATCAAATGCAGCGCTTATCTTTTTGATTTCGTTGACGTGAACTCTTGTTAAATTTTAATATAGCGCGGGAATTGAAGATCAGATTTAAATCCGTTTTGCGACGACACATTTATGTAGCCAAGTGTAAATGGAAACGTTTTAACAAATCAGATAGATATCTGATCAGCAAAAGCGCATGAAATGACCACCAGGTGTAAACAGACCCTAAAACACAAGGTCAATCAAGAGAGCGGCCCGTGCCTTTTAGCCAATCAGAATGCGCTCTATTTGCTGACATTTGAGGGCGGGATTCTGGAACAAGGGCTTCTGCTAAAAGTTGGCATAGCTTACAGTAAAATGTAAAAATATTTGATATACGAAAACCTAACCATGTTTAATAACAAAATCCTGGAACACGTGGTCATTCTTTAATTTCTCATAAAAAATGAAAGTTAGAAACATTAAGCATATATTACAGGAAATCCGGTCCCCCGTCCCATAAGTCCCAAAGGCTGTGAAGATACGATCTCATGTGTGAGGTGAGTTTGTTTTAGTCGTGCTTCATCATCATCATCATCCTCCGCTTCTGCTGCGTCTTCTTTTCACAGCGCACGAACACCTTCTCCTGCGACGGCTCGATATACATGCCCTCATCTGTCTGTGGGCAAAACGTAGTTCTGACCAGAAAAGAGATGTTATGAGCTTCAGCTAGGTAGTAATGCGTTTTTACTTTATTTCAAAAACGCCTATCCAAACAACGGCATGTCCAGCAATGTCCACTAGAGGTCGCTAGAATAACTAAACATGAAATGGAAGCTTGAAAATGTTAGTTTTTTTGTGTCTGCTTTAAAAATGTATTCTTTGTGTGTGTTTTTTTTTTCTGTATTTCTCTACTTAACAGTAGTTGAGATATTGTCTTGTCTGCATACACATTATCATGCCTGTTTCTGGTCTATTGCATTACTTTTTCCTCTTATTTTTTAATCTATTCATCTTGTCTATTTTTTAAAAGCTGTTATACTGAGGCACTAAAGATCATTAGATCAATATACACTAAATCCAGGCTCTTAATCTTTAGTCAGCATCTTTTTTGCCTTTTATTCCTATGTGAGCGTTCAATTGATTCCTTATGAATTTATATAGATCCACCATCTGTGATGGCAAACTCTTATCCATCTCCTCTAACACTTACTTCCTCTGGGTCTCTCCTGCTTTCACTGTGATCTTCCCCACAGTGAGCTGTGGTCCTCTGCTGCTTTTGGCCCAAGGTATCATGGTCTTAACCGTGCTCCACATGTTTGCCCATACTGGGCTTCCCTCCCAGGTGAAGCGCATTATCATCAGGTCACCGATGTCAGTATCCAGAGTGATGAGGAACGTAAAAGTCTTGTTACTTGAAATCTCCTCAACTCTAAGAAAGAGGAATTAAGTAAAGTAATTGTTCAGGTTTACTTCATTCCGTTTTTAGATTCCTATAATAAACAACATCAATTTGGTGAAAATGCATGTGAGTAATTGTGTGCCATGCTTTTGTTCGAGATGCTATTTTAGTCCATTGCATACTTCCCTGCAGTTTTCTGCTCTCTGTTTCATGTTCCCAGCACACATGTATTTCATTCATTCATGCGAAATGAGTTATTCTGATGAGAGCTCTCTGTGTGCTATGATGACTAAATTGAGTGGTTTCCCTTTGAAGCGGAGCTTGTTACTTTGAGCTTTTAGAGCCCAGTACATAAAACATTGATGTTCTTCATCCCGAATGTTATCAAGTAGTCTTTCATTTAGGAATCTTTGGCTTACTGTTAAATCTAGAGCTTCTGCTACTGTCACACTAATTTAAGCTTTTACTTATGAACTAACCATAGTTATGAATTGTACTTGTACATTTATTTTAACGTATGTTCTTGTAATTATACACTACCAAACAGATGCAATGTTACATAGGCTTTAGTTTGGTTATAGCAGATGATGGTTAACCGCATAAAGCTTTTTAAATTGCAGAAAGCACAAATGTATCCTTATGATGATATGGATGATGATGATGAGAGTCATTACAAAGCTCATTAAGGTGATGCTCAAAAACACTTTGCTAAGATCATGTTTTCTTAAGATTCAGTTGCTGATATCAATGTGAATTGCATACTTACAGTGTTATGGGTAAATTTTCACTTTCTCCCAGTGTCCCGGTTAGAGAGACTGTGAGAGTGGGCTCGATCTTATCAGTTTGGTTGATGAACTGGATCCTGAATTGATAGTGGAACACTAATGGGGAAGGAAAACAGATTAGAAAGGTTTATATTTTTCCAAAAACAACTGGAAAACCATTAAATACAAACATTAATTGGGCAAAAAGTGTATTCTTAATCAGTAACAATGTCTTGATTCTTGATTCCTAATAAAATGTCTAAACATACTTAAAAAACATTTCTTGAAGAAAAAAATAGTTATTTCCCCATATGTGTGTTTTTTTAATTATTATTCTAAAAATATTTGTATTAGGGAGAGAACTTTAACAGAGGACATCATCTCTCATTTTACATAACAGTAGGAATTGACTGTTTTACACTTTTGTAGGTTGTTATAGCTGTTTCTCACATTTGTAGGGCATGTGTGAACGGGTTTTGAGAAACAGTCTCTTGCTTGCGCCAGTGCGGACTTTCTTGATGTCA